AAAAAGAAGCCCCTAAAAATTTGTAATTATTTTTAACGTAGTTTATAAATCTGAAAGCTTTGTCAACATTCTAGTTGACACTTTTACCATTTTGATGTCTTCGGTTGACAAAAAATCAAAAAGCATACACATAGGCACAAAATTTCAATGCATTGTACTTGCTATCTGCTCAGCTAAACATTGAACAGACTTACTCTTCGATGTGTATATGTGCATGACAATTATCAATATTTGTTGAAATCTATATGGATTTGCGAAAGATTCACAGGCATTAGATTGGCAAAAGGATAGACAAGTTAAATAAGAATAATTATCAAGCAATTGAAGTAAATTTACTAATGGATTTTAAAGGATGCGTTTTTAACATTTTGTACCCACAAGAGGGTGTCCATCAAATGTTTGTAATGCGTAGAAAAATACATAGACTATATCCAATTAGTTTGTTGAACACACAACTATGCAACTATGCAACTAAAACGAATAAATTTTTCTTTAAATTTTTATGCGCTTCGCCTTCTACCGTATAGGGTATATAAAGTTTATGCGGACGTATGAAACGGCCGGAAGGACTCATCTTTTATTACCACTTACTCAATCTGTCTAAGCTTTACTTTTAAAAAACCTCCTCATATTAGCGTTATTTCGTGAGCTTCCCTTCTATCCCCATTACCAACAAAAACAAAATTGTGAAAAAAATCTTTTCTTTTAGGCCGTTACAGTGGGCTGTGTCTTAATTAAAATTGATATTTATTTTAAAGGTGATACTATTTCGAAAAAAAGTAGGAAAAGTACGATTTTTTCTTTTATCTTAAAGTATAGCCAGTGGAATTATGTTTTAATATCAACATCATTTAAATGGCTGTCATTACTTCTCTTATAAGAACGACTGACATTTACACAATTCCAAAACACTTTGTCTACTAAATCTCAATTAATTTCAGCACTAGTGGATTCAATAGTTTTTTTTGAATACATGAATAGAATGTGGTATATTATTGTGGACCAACAACAGCTTTAAATGACCTCATAAGAAGTAGCTCGAGAGTGTTGAATCGCTATCGCAATCGAATTTTCATGAAATAATTGCATCATTTGTTGCTGTTGACCAACGTCTTCAAATAGCTCCACAAGATGTAATCGTAGACTGTTGAGTTGCAATTCGTTAGAGATCATTTGATACTGATACCTCATTTTCATGATATCATTGGATCATTTATTGTTGTTGATCAACGACTTTAAATAACCGGACAAGAATTAGTTCGAGCGGATTGATATCATTCATTATTGATATCAAATTTTCATTAAATTATTGGATGCCCAAAGTTATCACTTAATAAATCGATCGTTTAATGTGTTGTATGTAACCACATGTTATTTGGATCAATATGTTCGATTTCTGCATTCCTCGGCAACAGGATCTTGCTTCACCTCTTCTAAAATTCAAAGACCAATGACGCCTTCTGTCTAAGAATCGCAAAAAGTGTCTCGTTAATAATTTCTATGCTTCATACCAAAAACCAGAATTTTGTTTATTTATTGGGCCTTCATCTGAAAAGCTAATTTTCTTAGGAAAAATACATGAGAAAGATTGCATAATGAGATAAATATTATTAAATGCAGAATTTCTGAACGTTGTGAAGACGTGCATATATCTCTCCGTAACATATCTTTGCCTAGCAAACCTTACGCAAAACAATTAATGGAAAGAAAACGCTTTCGATACTCAAGATATCGCCGCCATGGTAAAGAAAAGTCATAACAATCCTGTAAGTAATGTAAATGAAAAATATTATTTTCCCCTTACGCCAGAAAGAGTGCGGCTTATTTTCTCCTCTAGCTATTACAATTGAAATAACATATTCGATATATTTGATAAGTCGGAGATACTGTCGCTCTTATCACAGTGGTAGCCTTAAGGAGGAGAAACTGCAAATTTTTTTTTTGAGTGTATTTGTATGAAGTCAAATAAATGTTAAGCCTGGTTAAGATATGTAAGTAAATTTATATGTAATTTAATGCAACAGAAATTATTCGTAAATGATGTGACGTAACATTTCTAAATGACTTTGAAAACAATAAAACTAGATACTAACTGTAAATGCGTACATTTGCATACATATCCTAAATATGTATGCATTTGCTAAAATAATTGTACCATAAACAAATGGCTATAAGCAAAGTTTGTTTTTCTTTCCCTTTCCTTTCCTTTCCATTTTTTTTTTTTTTTTGAACAACTTAAAAGAGTAAAAAAAAAAAACAACAACATTTAAGTACGAACTGCATAACCATACGGTATTATTTTGCATTTGTCTGCCTGCATTTGAAGGTCTTACTAATGGAGAAATATAATTAAGATAACATGAATTTTTGAAAATTTCATTTACTGAGTATATATAGCCAGAGAGAGCAAAGTTTTCAACTTTATTAGTAAACAAAAAGCACGAAGTTCCATTTATCTTAAATCTGATAAAGCAGATCACTCAATAAATCTCTAGTCTAACACATTTACGACAATACTGTTGCCAGACCCATATGATTTTTGAATTGTGCCAGATTTCAAGCGGTACGTGTCATGACTTCATGATACCTACCGCGTTCTAACGTTTAGCTTACAGATTACAGTAGCTTTCAGGAGGCTGCTCTTATAATATTGAAGGCTGTAGGAAAGTCTGCATCACAATCGGTATTGTTTGAGAGCCTTAATGGCGACCCTTGTCTGCCGAAAAACTAAATTTGTTGGTGGTTTGCTAATTATACCCTATACCAGTTATGACACAATGGCTTAAGATAAAAACCACTTTTTATTATAACGATCGATTAATAATCATTTTCTGTCCACCGGTCCATCTAATATTTGCTCATGTGAATTTATGCTCAATCTACGGGTCGCAATTTTAATGATATTTCGATAAAATTCGGTACACTTTCGTTCTTTGACCGAATAACTAGGAACTTTATAGGAAAATCGGCCTACTTTTTCGACCACTCCTCATAGAACGCCTTATTTTGAAAAATTTGCAATTTTCTAAATTTTTCGACAAAACTCGCTGAGTGATGGTCATTCGACATCCTAAATTGGTATGAAAAATTTGGTTCGGCTGGAGTAGCTTTTTGTACCCCCTCTCGTATAACTTTTGCTGCAAAAACTGAATGTCTATATGGAAAAATAATAATTTTGAATATTTCTAATTTGAACCACATAAATCTATTCTTGGGATACCACCACATATAAGGATTATATGCCAAAAAAATCTTTGAAAAATATTTGTTCATGATAATGATTTGACATAAAAATTAACTGAAAAAAAAATTCAACAATTCAGAAAAAGATTTAATTTTTAATACTTTATATTGAAAATTGATCTGTAGTAGCAAATTAATCAAAAAAATTAACAATAGAGAATGTGGATCATATAGATCTATTTGTCACACCCTAACATATATCACGGCTATCGTGAAAAGCAAGTCCTTATATGGAGAAAAAGAACATTTCGTAGTTTTGTATGATGAAAATTAAAAACTAATGAAATTTTTGAGGAAGTAAACTAAATTTTGCTGAATTGAAATCGCGCCGTGTGATGTTTCGGGCGTCCTTTCAAGTATGGGCTTTCATGAAAAGTCGACTTTTATTTGAAAATAATGCGTAATTTTTGGTGTATGATTACGAACGGGTACTAGGCGAAGTGATGTAGAGTATCTAATAGTCGACCTTGCCCAACTATAATGTTGTTGAAGTAAAGAATTATAAAAAAAATTTTGATTGCTTATTTTTTTGAAATAAAAAAAAAAAAAAAACAGAAAGTTAGTGTTTTTCAATGATATAAAAGAGAAAAGTGGAAAAACGTAAGGAGAAGTAAGTAAAAGATTGAATTTATTAGAAAAAGTTCTCGTAAATAAAAATAAATAAATTAAATACATATATAAATATAAGCAAACAGTTGAAACATTATTTCCAATATTTATTTATTGTAAACAACTAAAACTTATACTTTGGAAATATCAGCATGAAAGTTACGTATACCCAAAATTGTACAGAAAGAAGTAATGCATGGGGTATTTTTTATAAACCAATCAATTTTAACACAGAGTATTTATTTGTACACACAATATTTATATCTTTATTAGCAAATAAGTAAGTAAGTAAATAAAATATTCATTGAAACTATTTTTCTTTCAATAAGATACTAATCGGCAATATAGCATTATCATATTCTTAAAGCTATATATAATGTATATAAAACTATCTCTCGTTCCACGGCAAAATAAGAGAGCAAGCTATCAGCTGAAAGGTTACACTGAGTTTACGTTTATTATAAGAGGACAATTGAGGGCCGTTTTCAATAAAAATTAAAAAACTTCTCTTTGAGTCCATTTCACGGCTGCCAATAGCAGCGACAAATAAATGGTAAAATGTCTAAAGTTTTTATGAAAAATATAAATAGATGAAATCTGAGGATCTTTTCGTGTTCCAAATTTAGCAA